AGGTGGATAGACCTAGAGTCTGTCATACAGAGCGAAGTAAGTCAGAAAGAGAAAGACAAATACCATATGCTAACACATATATATGGAATTTAAGAAAAAAAAATGTCATGAAGAACCTAGGGGTAAGACAGCAATAAAGACACAGACCTACTGGAGAATGGACCTGAGGATATGGGGAGGGGGAAGGCTAAGTTGTGACAAAGTGAGAGAGTGGCATGGACATATATACACTACCAAACGTAAAATAGATAGCTAGTGGGAAGCAGCAGCGTAGCACAGGGAGATCAGCTCAGTGCTTTGTGACCACCTAGAGGGGTGGGATAGGGAGGGTGGGAGGGAGGGAGACGCAAGAGGGAGGAGATATGGGGATATATGTATATGTATAACTGATTCACTTTGTTATAAAGCAGAAACTAATACACCATTGTAAAGCAATTATATTCCAATAAAGATGTAAAATAAAAATAATAAAGATTAAAAAATTAAAAAATAAGACATAGATTGTGATCTGCTAAATATAAAACAAAAAAGGATAGTGAGATATCACAGAATTAAAATATTGTGGAATATTTCAAAAAGGAGAAAGTGTGCAAACCTGTTAAATGTTGCAGTAAAGCACAGTAGATACAGTAAAATAAGAAATGATAATTTTTTCTTGGATTTTTTAATTAAGAGGACATAGGTTATCTTAGCCAAAATGATTTCAGTGGAATGAAAGGATGAAGCCAAATTGTAATGACTGCTCTCAATGTAGTCAAAGGCAACTGCAAACAGTGAGTATAGTCTAGGCTTTGGTGAAATCTGGGAAAGAAGGAAAAAAAGATTACACAGTAACTAATAGGAATTCAAGGTCAAAAAGAGGTGATTTGGGACTGCTTGTATAGTGTTTTTCAATCTTTTGTCAGTATCTATGGTCCTTGCTTCCTCATGTATGCTACATGTTCCAGCTGCAGTATTTCTCCTTGATAGCTGGTCAGCTAACATAACGTCCACAATACTCACTCTTCCCAAGACAAACATCAAGAATATGTATAACCTAACGGGTTCATACAAATAATGGGGTATTTCTGAGATGAACGTCAGAAATAGCTGAGAAAATTTAAGTGCACAAAATAGAAACAAATATGCTTAAGACACTTCTTTGAAGGAAGGATTATGGTAGCTAAAGTTGTAGAAGGTTCTCCACTACAAAAAAACGGGGGGAAAGGTCATTCTGCAAACTGTATCTGCAGGTAGGAATTTTTCTACCAAGCTTAGCACATGCATTACGTATGTGCATGCATCAAAACACACAAATATATATACTTAAGATGAGTCTAGCTTTACCATGTTAATGTATAAAACTTCCCTTGCATTTCTAAATCCACTTATTTTCAGCATCAACGTATTATTGAAATAAATGTACAACCTATATCACTATCCGATAAAGATACGGTATAGCTGGACTTAGAGTCAAGGTTCATGTTATGGTAAAAGGCAAAGAACATCTGTAAGGTAAAGCATCTCGAGAAAAATACCAAAGTGATATGCTGACACTTTTCCCATTTTATTTATATTATATCAAAAGTTTTTCTTAAAATAAAAAGACTTTGAAAAAATATTTTTTACTAACGGGAAGTAGCTAGGGAGCTTAATGACCAATTTATTGGATGAATGAATTCTCCTGACAAGTATTTACTGAGCATTTATTATGTAGCAGGCAGATTCTAATAATCAAAACAAAACAGAAAAAAAAACCCTGCCCTCATGGAACTCCTTGGTGGAATCGTCTAATGTATAAATACATACAGAGCCTAAGTTATCTAAAATCTGACGGGTACATTTGTGCTCAAATTTATTAAGTGAACTGGTGAAAATCAAGAACAGAGAAAGGGATGGGGTGAGATGCTCATGGGGGAAATAGGAGGAACGTATCAATGACTTTTCAGTTCAGCCCCCAATAATTTCTTTCATTAATTATTTATGTCATCATTTTTATAATATCTTACAATATCTGATTGGCATTTAACAATTGAAAATAATATTACATTTATAGTAAATGTCTACAAATAAGATCAAAGGTCAGGGACTATAATCACTCTTGCATATACCTTTGACAACCACAACCCTCCTATCATACTTGCTTCACAAAACCACAGCCATGGCTAAAGCAACCCTTCACCTACTCTGCACCTACACTCATGCAACTGAACATGGCTGGAGAACATCCACACTCATAGTTCATGACCATGAACTTCAGGTGAGCCATTCATTCAGTACAGCCATCATACCATATTTCCCTAATCTCTTCCTTTGCCTAGTCTTTCAGATGATTATTTCACATCCTCTCTTTTTTAACCAACCAATACCGTCTCTCTCATCCTCACTTTTAGCTGTTTTTGACCTTGCTTCCTACTTTCCTATTGAGAAAACTGAGGCAATAAGTATCAGCATCAAAACCCACATACTCTGCCTTCCCATTTGCTGCTAAAGACAAGTACCTACGCACCACTGTGCAGTCAATCTGGTCTCTAATTTCCCTTCCCTCTCACCTAATCAATGACATTGCTACAGTAAGTTTCCCCCTTTTCCCCAATCATTAATTTTGCACATCTGTAATTCTCATCTTAAAAAAAAATTTGACCCTGCTTTTCCTCATAGCTACCACCTCATTTCTCTGCTCACCTCTGCAGCAAAAACTGCCCCAGAAGAGTTGTCTAGATTCACTGTCTAGAATTCCTGTCCTCCAATTTTCTTTTAAATCCACTCCAAGCAGGGCTTTGCCTCCAACTCTCCATCAGCATTGATCTTACCAAGTTTACCCATGACCTCTGCATTGCAAAATCTAATTTTCAATTCCCAGTCCCCTTCTTACTTGATACATCTGCTTCATTTGACACTAATGATCATTCTCTCCTCATAGAATATTTTCTTCACTTGGCTCCAGGACACAACTATCTCTGAATTTTTTCCTTCTACCTCACTAAAGGCTCCTCCTTTACCTCCTTTGCTTCTTTCTCCTCTTTAACCCTTTACCAGGGCATAAAGGTTCCAACTCTGTTCTCTTTCCTTCTCTAGCTACACTCTCCTTGGTAATCTCAACCAGTTTCACGCGGTTTCCAGATCTCTCCCCCAAACTCACATATTCAGTTTTTTCTTCAATCTCTCTACTTGGATAACTAACATACATGTTAAGTTTTCAGTGTCCAAAGTGTAACCTCTTATTTTCCATCCATACTGACTCTAGCCATAGCCTTCCTTATTTCAGTTTATTTCAATAAACCAAAGTTTATTTCAATGTTATCCTTTCAGTTGGTCAGTCCAAGAACTTTGGAGTAATCCTAGACATCTCTCTTTTTCTCATACTCTACACTCAATCTGGAAGGAAATTTTGATCATTTGATCTTCAACCACTAAACTATATTTTTAAATACATCTAAGCACTCCACTCATTGCTACTACCCTGGTCCAAGCCATCACCTCTCTGAATTATTTGCAACATCCTCTTAACTGGGCTCCTGTTGCTACTCTTGCCCTCTACAGTCTATTCTCATTGCAGCAGCCAGAGCAATCTTTTTTAAATGGCAAGTCAAGCTTGTCAGTCCTCTGTTCAAATCCCTGCAACAGCTCTCCACTTTCCTCAGAGAAGACGACAAAAGTCTTGTGCTATCGTGGTCTTCAAACCATGTGATATCTCCCTGATTACTTGTGACCTCATCAGCTTATTCTTTGCTGTTAACTAAATAAGCCAGGCAGCAATATGCTATTCTAAAATTAGCAAGACGGTCAGAATACCTGAGACAGAGTGACTAAGGGAAAGACTGGTTGTAGATGATGTTATAGAAGTTGACAGGGACCAGATCAGGTAGAGCTTTGCATGCTATGATACTTAGATTTTATAAGAGACAAAAGTTCACTAGAGTTTAATAGCTGAATTGTTAATCTGATTTATTTTTAAAAGATCACTTGGACATAGTTAATTTTACTTGGGAAAGGTAAATTTTTCATAAATTGAGTGTAAGAGAAGAAGGTAAAGAAGAATTAGGAAGCTGTTTGCAATAGTCGATAAAATATAACAGTGATTTAGACCACAGTGATCAAACTCAAGGTCTAATTTGAAAGAAAGACCAAAAGGATTTACTGACAGAGTTGAAAGGAGAAGAAAATATATATATCAACTAGCAGTTGACCCTTGAACAACACAAGTTTGAACAGTTCACTGGTCCACTTATATGCAGATTTTTTTCAACAGTAAATACTACAGTACTACATGATCTGTGATTGGATGCCAAGGAAACTTGGATAGGGAGGAAATGTGGCTGCGGAGGGAGTACTATAAATTACAGGCAGATTTTCGACTGCGCAGTGGTTTGGAATCCCTAACCCCCACGTTGTTCAAGGGTCAACTGTATCATAAAACTCTAATATTATTCCATTAAAAATATGACCAGACTAAAAACCATCTTAAATTAGCTAAGAAACTTCTCACAATGCTAAGAATTAACCTGCACTTCATTAATTCAACATCAGTATAAACCCAGTGTAATAATACCTTATTTATATGGATTTAAAATAAGGAGTAGGAAAACTTTTTCATAAACACTAGCTATATACAGGAAAAGAAAAGGATGTTAAGCTTGAATATATGGTGTCAAGTCTGAGTCAAAGAAAGAATGTATGAAATGATGTCTTCTTTTTGAATATTCACTTTCCATAAACTGGTATTCTTAGATGAAGAAGTCATACACTGATAAGCCTCAGTAATTTAAGTCTTTGGAACAAAATGGGACAATAAGTATTTCAATTGGAGAAAACTTATCCTGACCATGACCAGGTTACCAGTTCTCAAAGGAGATGTATCACTGAAACACTGTTAATCCTAGGCAAAAGGTCAAAGGTTTTCTCTACTGCTACACCACTGTATAAATCCACCCTAAGTCAGCAGTGACAAAATGCTTTACTCTGACATCAAACATTTAACAAAACCAAAACAGAATTGAAGTAGTTTAAAAACACCTTACTCTGGCAGCACAAGCAAAAGAATCAGGGCCATGAGCTGCATTTCTTATGCCATCTGTTCCAAAGAGGGCTCTAATGCTTTCAGGAGCATCTGTACGTGCCAGTCCAGAGTTGGCAGGTCCAAGAAGTCTTTTCCATTCACATATAGCATCATCTCTTAAAATCTCCATGGCAATTATAGGACCACTGGTGATAAACTGGATCAGCTCACTGTGAAACAGGTGAAAGATTGATTTGCTTCATTTTTCTATCAACCTAGGTACCTCTCTTAACAACAAGGATATATTACAATTTGAGTATTTCAACACACTCATGATCATGATCTCAGAACTACTGGACATAGTGAATTTTACATGGGCAAGACAAAATTTTCATAAATTGAGTGCCTTACAGTGGCCCGAGTGTCTACAAATCACTAGTGTTGTCAATTACTATTAGCAGAAAAATCAATCTTTCATTGAACTAAGACTACTTCATTGACTTAAAATGCATATTTTTGATCTATGCTTTCTACATTGCTCTGAAAGGTGCAGAAGAATCTTTTTATTTTCACGTGGTTTACCATTGCAGTCAAATGAAATCGCAGTAGAGAAAGTGATGAGTGATGTATTGTAATATATTTGCAGTAAGAATTAATTGTTTTTGTGTAGATCTATTAGAATTCAAAGAATGACAACGAATTTTCAGTCAATAAGCATTGAGTTGGTCTAGTGACATATAAGACATTCCACTAGAAGCTGTAATACTATAAACACATACAAAGACTATAACAAAGAATAATTTCCAAGACAATTGTAGATGCCTATTCTACACAAGGTTTGAGAACATTTTTATAATGCTTGGTTTAAAATAATCTATACCATAATGATTTTCTTATGTAAAAATTTTCTTTAATAAGGCACTATTCTGTACAGGACACCAAATAGCATTTCTATTGCAGCAGCTTGGCTAATCCTTCTTTATTAGAAAAGTAAGTATTCCTCCTTTGTCAATAGCAATATGAGGTGCACAATATTCACTTAACTTTAAATACAACCCAAATATTTAGAACATAGTTTGTTTCTAACATATTTGTTGCTATATTTCAAAGAACAAAACGTATATCAAACAACTTAGTTAACATACAAAGGTTCTTTGAACAATGTTTTATATACATTGAGAATGCTAAAATAAGAGTTTAAAACACAACAAATAGATATTCAACATAAAATGTAATTATCTATTTTTAATCTACTGAAATCTAAAAAGAAAGCTATGCTCCTTATGATTTAAACATTTTATTTGCTTCTGATTAAAGTTTAATATGTTTATTTAATGACAAGAGAATTTTCAACTAATAAAAGGAGAGAAAAAAACAATTCTTAGAAAAAATGCTCTCTGCAGTTGCAAGATGTTGCTAAGGACTTTTTGACAAATTATTCTCATGTAACAAATTTTTGAATTGTAAAATTATAACTCTTTCGTTTTCCACGATATCCTCCATTATATCCCACGACCCCCAATTTCAGTACCTACTTTAAAAAGGGCTTTGACTGATGATCTATATGAAAATCTGTTGCTTCTTTCCTATAATCAAAATGACAATAGTTAAGAATTATGTAAGGAAATTATTTTAACTTACATTAATAAAATAATGAAATTCTCTATGTGACCCGTATGTGAGTTAAGGACTTTTCACCAAATATTCTGCTCAAATCTCCCCTCTTTTCAAATTTTTGGATATCTATGCTAAGATGTAAAATTAAAATGAACAAAAGAGGCAATATTTACTTTATTACTCATGTTCAAATCTACAATCTTCCTTTTCACTAGCATCTTTAACATTCTAAAGCCAAAGTTTAACATATGACCAATAAAAATTATTTGTTCTTTAAAGTTCAAATAAGTTACATCAAAAAATGCAAAGCCATCTTCAAATTCAAAATTTGTTACCTCCTTCTACAGGCTTTAAACCTGAGAGGTTAGGCTAGAATTTTACTTTAATAGTTATAGTTTTCTTCCTTAGATCGCCCTAAAAGAAAGACTATATACTTGTGTTTTTAAAAACTGCTTGACAAATTATGCATATCAATGTATTCTTATTGGTTTTTAATGTATTAAAAACGAATCCTTGAACTTACATTCCCCCCAAAAAATGGATAATATGGAGATATTCAGAAACCTGAATTTATTAAGGGCAATCGGGATTTACTTTTAAATTTATAGTCCCACAACTATAGAGACAATGAAAGGATAACAGACTTTTACACTGATTTTAAAAGTTATTTAGACTTTTCGGTTAATCAAACCAAGTGTCTCAAACTTGTACAGTTTTCTCAAAGGCTTTAAACTTAATTCATAGTATATGACAAATATATGTCAACATCAACTTTTTAAAATAGCAAATTAAAGTATCCCCTAACAAAAGATTAACCTTTCAGGCTTGGTAATTTAGTATGCAATGCTTTAAGATCTTATAGGCCCATTACAAAATGAATTTACTTAATAAGCTATATCAGGATATACTTTTATTCAAACCAAGTGTACTAAAATATTCTCTTTGGCCGTGAAAAGATTATGAAAGTATACTATGCAAGTACAGAAAATGAAATTCATCCCAAGAAATGGAAGGGGAAGAAAACTCATTTTTCTAGAGGGAATTATATGCCCAACATTAAATGTTATTATTCCTCATAACAATATATTGAAATAGGTATGATCATCTTCATTTTACATTTGAAAATAATGAAGTTCAGCATGATTACATAACTTGTCCGGGTCAAAGTGCTGGTAAGGGAAGAAGGACAGGGAGATTTGAACCCAAATCTCTGATTGCTTATGACCTTACTATTACCAACTTCAGGAAAAAAAAAAAATTCTAGAGGGTAAGGAAAAGAATTCCTAAAAATGATATGGATATTCTGTATTGCAGCCTAAAATGAGGTAAAACTGAGCGTCTAAAAATCCTCAAGTGGGGAGTACTTTAGAAGAGTGAGCAGCAAGACTACTAACATGACCAATTCTAAACTTTAACACAACCGAACTAAGAAAAATCATCATGTTTAATATCAGTGAAAAGAAAAATATTAATTACTGAAAGTATCTTATTGCTTTCTTCTAATATGTCACCGACCCCATAGTTATTTCCACTGAAAATCTATGACAAACCAAGATGAGAGTTCATGAGTTTTTTTCTCATCATTCTTATTTAATTCCTCCCTTAAAAAGTTTAGACGGAGAGAAGGATTAACAAGTGCATCACCACCTAGAGAAGTCTTTTTGCTGTTATTTTGTTACGTTTTGTTTTGTTTTTATAAAGAAACTCACCATTGTCACAAAGATCTATTAATTCTTTTACGAAATACTTACTTAGTGCCTGCTTTGAATCAGGCACTGATCCAAGAACTAGAAGTACAAAGTTAGATGGAACTCAGCTTCTGCCTTTCAGATACTGTCATGAGGGAGGAACTGACATTTGAGCAAATAAGTTTAGAAAAGTTTTAAGCATTGGGAGATACTCCTCCATGGGTCTCTGACACTCCTAACGTGTCTTATTGGGTAGGCCAAGAATGCAAGGCCCCAGCTACTGTTTATCCTAGCCATTTCTTGGAGTTATGTTTATAATGAGCAACTTTGAGGGGTGAGGTCATGCCTCTTCAGTACAAACAGAAGGCTTGTTTACTGCTCGTTAATGAAACAGTGGGTAACCTAAGTTCAATGCTCCTCAGAGGTGATGCAATCAACTGTGTGTATGACATCCACCCGGGCCCATATCATATTATTCCCACAGGACACGAAAGCAAAGCGAACCAACAGAAACATGATGTTCATGCTGCTTACTGACCATACTCAAGCCCTCTGTCTCTGACTCAGAAGTTTCAAGTCTTCTGCTAGCATCCCGGAGAGAGTAATAGACTAACTTATTAGATTTTAAGTTGGGTAAAATCCAAGACTTGACAGTAATATTAATAGAGATGTATAAGGTGCTATAAACAATTTAAAAAGCTGTTAAGTTTTCTTGGGTAGCTTTATTGTGGAAAGTTTGACACCAAATTATCAAACACTGGAAGTATAGAGACATAAAAAAGTTTTAGTCTCACTGAAACTATTCAAAGTCATCTCTCCAGAATTCAGTCCCATAGCCTGCTGTGAGGGCAAGCATTCTCAATACAGAAGAAATACAAGACAGAAATGGGACAAATGTCTCAATACAAGACAGAAATGGGACAAATATAACTATGCTCATAAAGGATCATGACCTCGGTTTCTACTAAATAATAGTGATATCACTAGTACCACACTACTACCACTAATAGCTAACACCTATATACACCTACTATGTGCCACGGTTTTTCAAAGCACTTTACTTTTATTAAACTCACATAACCCTCGTAACAACTTTATGATACAGATGATGTTATAACCTCCATTTTGCAGATAAAGAAACTGAAGCACAGAAGTAAGCTGTTCAGAGTCACAACCTACTAAGCGGTGCAGTTACAAGCAATCTGGCTCTAGACTCTGTGCTCTTAAATAGAAGACGCCTGCCTTTCTAGAATATATGTAAACTGGGAGATCTTACATAGGGGAAAAATTCAAATTGTCATTACTGGGGTAAAAATGAGGATGTTTTGTTAAGGTTTCTAGGGATCAGACTTCTCAAAGCTACACTATCTACTGCTCTCCATTGTCCCTGTTCTCACAGAGACAAAAAAGCAACCGTTCCATGGGATAAAGAGCCAGGAACATCAGTGAGAAGACACCTAAGCAAACAAACACACACAAATCAGTGAAGTAACCTAAGAAAACTGCTGGGTCAAGCCCTGCCTAACAGCTACATGAATGTCTCTACCTAACACTAAGTCTTTTTTTTTTTTTTTTTTTTTTGCAGCACGCGGGCCTCTCACTGTTGTGGCCTCTCCCGTTGCGGAGCACAGGTTCCAGACGCGCAGGCTCAGCAGCCATGGCTCACAGGCCTAGCCGCTCCATGGCATGTGGGATCTTCCTGGACGGGGTCACGAACCCGTGTCCCCCGCATTGCCAGGCGGACTCTCAACCACTGCGCCACCAGGGAAGCCCGCAACACTAAGTCTTACTTTCATTAAATAACTTAGAAAATATCTGGTCAGATAGAATGGCTTGCTTTTCAGAGCAGTAAATAGGTATATCTGCCAATTATATATATTGGAAGGAAATAAAACATTTCCAAACACATGACTTTTGAAAATCTCAACAGTAACATTCCCTTGTCAAATAGAAATAATCTAATATTCATTTCTTCTATAATTTTTATACAATGTGTTACATTGTATAAAAGAAGAGATTACAACTATGAAACACTGGTGTTATAAAAGCAGATGGGGTTATGAAAGACAATGAAGAGTTCATGTCTAATAAATAGTTAATAGTATAACCTGACAACTCCTATTTGCTTAGAGTTCAATCATCCTTTATGCATCTGATTACCTGTTGTCTTCCATTTCCTACTATACTATTCTTTGTCATTCTGTGGAAGTTTTTTCTCCCGTTGTGGAGCACAGGCTCCGGACGCGCAGGCTCAGCGGCCATGGCTCACGGGCCCAGCCGCTCCACGGCATGTGGGATCCTCCTGGACCGGGGCACAAACCCGTGTCCCCTGCATCGGCAGGCGGACTCCCAACCACTGCGCCACCAGGGAAGCCCAGAAGTTTTTAAACAAAGACATGAAAGATAGATGATTTTTTTTTGAAAAAAGGAACCAGACATTACATAACTGAAAATGCTCAAAAAATTTACCTTGAAAGTGTCATCATTTTGAGTTTGGTTAGAGTAAATCCAGCTTTGCTTATTATTTCAATTATTTCTCCCGCTTTTGATACTGCATCTGGTTTAATCAGGGCTAATGTTCTATAAAGAAATAAAGAATAAATTTAAAGATAAAAATAGTTTGGCAGTTTTTACTTATAATTCCCAAGCAGTGATAATTTCCTTAAAAATCCTAGATCAAACATCAAAGTGAATTATAAATACAAGTGTATTAATGGCCTCATAAAAACTTATACAATGGAAGTTTACTATTTTTTCACAAGGAAATAAAAATTAGGTACCCAATCTAGAAAAATAATAAAAGTTTAGAGGGAAAAAAAGTTAAGACTCATTTTAAATATGTCCACATTATAAAACACAGGTGTTTAAGATTTCTATTTCTTAGCATATGCTTTATAAAAGACAACCATTCTCTAAAGAGTTGCATTAAACATATCAGCTTGACTTTCAGTCTCTTAGACTTTAACATGTGTATGCCATGCAGTCAGTTCAGCACTGATTTGGAAATAATATAAATTCTTCTATTAACACTTTATTCATAGCATGAATGATATAAAAAGAACTAAATATCTCTTACCTGAAGATGTATATGGCTAGCGAACACCCTGCTAACTTTTAAAATCACACTTTCCTCTTAGAGGATACATCAGAGCTATGCGTTCTCCCCTCTGAAGCCACAGAATTAATGGATTTTTAGAGATGGAGATCACCTGAACTTCCTCATTTTACTAACAAGGAAACTAACAAGGCCCAGAGAGGTAACCCTCCAAAGATCACACAGCTGGTCTGTGGCCTCCTCAGGACGGAACACCCAGCTGACACGACTCTTGGGTCTGTGCTCCTTCCACACCACACCACAAATAATGTTGCTATTAATATTAGCAAAAGGGAACATAATCACAAATCCTCAAGACTAACATTTGCAAACGCAAGGTAAAATCAGATTAGTTGGAGTAATTCAGTTTATCTGGCACACAAAATAAGATAAAAAATTGCTGTTGGGCTTCCCTGGTGGCACAGTGGTTGAGAGTCCGCCTGCCAATGCAGGGGACACGGGTTCGTGCCCCGGTCCGGGAAGATCCCACATGCCGCGGAGCGGCTGGGCCCGTGAGCCATGGCCGCTGAGCCTGTGTGTCCGGAGCCTGTGCTCCACAACGGGAGAGGCCGCAACAGTGAGAGGCCCGCGTACCGCAAAAAAAAAAAAAAAAAATTGCTGTCACTTTCCCTTTATTTTCAATTGTTCTGACACTTTGGCATTAACTCAAGGAATCCATAAAAGGAGACTGGTAGGCTTTCTCAAAGTAGACTTTTTTCACCAATGAGACAAACTTAGCTAAGGATATAATGATACAAATATCCTTACTTATAACTGGATATAACTTATGGCTGGCTTTTAAAACTTTTAAATAACAAAAGTTGTTCATTTTAGTCTGATAGGGCTTGTAATAAACGGACTTTTTATTTTGAAGCAAGTGAGTCACTTCTAGCATTTTATATGGCTTCATAGATACAGTTAAAACTCATCATTTTTTTAGCTCACATTGTTTAAAATATTATAAAGCCAAACTAACCCATGATTGTTTATGCTAAACTCTGGAAACATCTTCAAGAACCAAAGCTCTTAAAGAAAATATAAAACACATCGGCAGTGAACAAGAAGGAATATGAAAAAAAATGCAGTTTCATTTTCTCTTTAAGTGCCTACAGGAGACAGAGCCTTGATTACTGTGATTAATTACTCTAAGCAAGTTCCTCTGTCATGTCTTCACTGCTTCATTGTTCAGTAGATAATAGTTAAAATGCATTTTGGAGGGAAAATAAGATCGGCTTTAGGAATCATTTGTATTATTTAAAAGTGAAGATAGCACACAAAGAAAGTAAAGGGCCACGAAAATATATTAATAGTGCCGCTGTTATCTGCTGCTGCATAACAAACCACCCCAAAATGTAGTGGCTTAAAACTACAAACAACTTCTCAAGATCATATAGGTTGGCTGGGGAGTGGTTTCACCTGGGATGGGTCATACTGCTGCATTTGGCTAGTGGGTCGGTTGAGACAGCCAGGCTTCTCTTTCCTTGAGGCCTCAAGAGCTAGAACAGGCAGGGAGATGGATTCTCCCCTAAAGCCTCCACAAAGAAATGTAGCCTTCCCTACCAACACCTTGATCTTAACCTGACGAAATCTGTGTTGGACTTCTGATATATAATAAATGTGTATTGTTTAAGCAGCTGACTGTGGTAAGTTGTTATGTCTTCAATAAAAGACTACAGAGAAAAAAAACTCCGGAGAGGAAAAACACCCCAACAAAAGAATGGAAAGAAGAAAAAATTAGAAAAGTAGGAAAGCAGTAAAATAGTCGAAATATGTTGAAAAATACTAATACAACAGATGTAAATGTACATGTACTAGTCTCACCAGTGAAAATCTAGAGGTTTTCAGACTGATTTTTTTTTTTTTTTTGCCGTACGCGGGACTCTCACTGTTGCGGCCTCTCCCGTTGCTGAGCACAGGCTCCGGACGCGCAGGCTCAGCGGCCATGGCTCACGGGCCCAGCCGCTCCGCGGCATGTGGGATCTTCCCGGACCGGGGCACGAACCCGTGTCCCCTGCAATGGCAGGCGGCCTCTCAACCACTGCGCCACCAGGGAAGCCCCAGACTGATTTTTTTTTTTTTAAAGAGCTGCATGCTGTTTACAAGAGATATATCTACAATATAACTTAACAAGGCTGAAAGTAAAGCAATGACAAAAAGATATCAACCAAAAATACATTATCAATCAAATCCATTCTTGAGAAAGATGGCTAAGGCCACCCATTCCTTGGCTGTGGTCTCCTTCCACCTTCAAATCTAGCAATGGAGACTGGGTGCTTCTCACACTGGCATCTCTCTGCTTCTCTGCAGCCAGAAAGGTTCTCTGGTTTTATGGACTCCTGTGATTAGGTCGCACCCACAGGAATGATGCAGAATAATTTCCCCATCTCAAGGCCTGTAATCTTAAATCTGCAAAGTCTCTTTGCCATGTAAGGTAACTGTTGGGCTGCACCCGCAGGCCTGTAAGCCTTGTAGATGCCCAGCCTCGAGACAGAAGAAAGAGCCCAGAGAGCAGCAAAAGAGACCTCAATGGTTTAATTGATGGAGGAACTTACATGTCTGAAGCAAGGTCCTGGAGCAACACCCCAAGGTGTGCAGCAGACTGCAGGCAGGCTGTAGCAGCAGTGTTGGCTGCTCAGGACAGAGGGAGGCTACCATTTACTCAGGGGGGAATTGATTTCAGGTGGGCTCATCAGTTAACAAGGGCTAATTAACAGCCCTTACAATTAAGAGAATTGGATAGTCATGTGAGGGAAGCAGGGCCTAGTCAATCAGGAGATCTACAGAGAGCAAGAGAACAGCCGTCTTGAACGGCCTGACCATACAGTAACACATTCATAGGTTCCAGAGATTTGAACATGGACATCTTTGAGCAGCCATGATTCTGCCTACTGTACTCTCTATTGTTTTGGAGTTTATATACTATTTTTCTAGTGGTTAGCTGTGAAACTTTTTCATACTTATTTAACTTAAAATTCTTAAAATTGTATAATATCTTGACCCTTTAGAAAGACTTTAGAACACTTTAGCTCCAATGTTCTCTCTTCCAACTTATATAGTTTCATTGTTGTTTTGGACATTCAGTTTTTTGCCTGCATGAGTAAGCCATCTTGGACGATGAGACCACAGGTAAGTAAAGATGAGATAAAGATTGGCTGGGGAGGGGGGAGGGGGTGTGTGAATTTTTAGCAAGGCCTTGGTAATTGACCTAAAGTCTTACTTGAATGCATTTCAGTGCCTTTTTGCAGCCAAAACTCAACTGCTCACCACCACCTAGGAGGATATGTAAAGTAACAGTAATTGGTATTGAGGGAGTAGTTTCCCAAAGGTGAGAACAGAATTGAACTAATACCAGTAATTGTCTGGTCTCCTCCCCTGAGAAGTAGCCTTGGTCTACTTAAAATTGTTAGGCCGACTGGCTTAAAGAAATAAAACTCCAGGAACAATGAGAACATGTGTACCTTTGCTCCTCGTGGGTAAAGTGACTTCTACTCCATTCCCAGGAGAGCGCTTCCTCTCTCCACCCCCTTCATTTGCTCCTCCACATATGGCCACATTTAAGGGTTTCTGGTTGTATGCGGCCCTGCCTCTTCTCTCTCAGACCTGCAAGCCCTCATGCAGGACACAGTCTACAGTTCTTCCCCTGCTTCCATCTGGTTAGCACAGCAGAGGCAGAGGCCGGCACCTGCATGGAAACCTACCTCTCTCTGGTGCTCTGTCTCCCATGCTGGATGGGCAAGTGTGCTCTCAGGGTTTGCTCTAAAGGTATCTCTCTCCCTCAGACGGGCCCCAAGGTCCAGACTGGGAAGGAGGGCAGGGCTGGGGTGGAGAAGTAGGAATAAAGCTCAACCGTTCTCAGAGCTGGCTTACACTAGGCAGCCTAAACCAGCACTTTACTTTGATTTGCCTCTGGCGCCTACGTTAATGCTCCATCAGTTAATATTCGGAAGGGAGAATGGAGACTAACTGAACCCAAGAGATGACAAAAAGCCTGTATGATGTCTTTACATCTGAACAGCAAAACCATAAAGCATCAATTTATTACCTTCTAAAATTAAAATTGAATACGCTAAAAAAAAAGAAAAAAAATTAAAAATGTTTTTAAGTCAAATACTATGACTCATAGACAACTGATAACATTTATCCATTTGATTTGAGGAGCTTTATAAGGAGAATAGATTAAAATTAGCTAAGAGAGTAGATCTTTCATTAAGTTCCCTTACCACAAAAGAAAACTCAATATAAAAAATAATAAGGGGGTGGGAGGAAAATTTTGGAGGTAATAGATAAATTTATACCCTTGATTGTGGTAATGGTTTCATGGGTATACACTTAGCTCCAAACTCACCAAGTTGTATGTATTAAATATTTATAGCTTTTTGTTTGTCTATTATACCTCAATACAGAGATTTTTGAAAAAGAGAATAAAAATGTAAATCGAATGTCAGATTTCTACAGTTAATGGGAATTAGGAAGCTGGGGCTAGTTCGTTAGCTAAATTGAATTATATAGAATTATCTTGATAAGTGCCTCAAAATGAGCAGACGGGCACCATGAAGATCAGCTTTACTCCTCCCTCTCAGTACAGGCTTTACTCCAGAAAGAAAATGGCTGAGTATGATAAATATAATAGGGATGTAATTAGTTCATAAATTATCCTTGACACTATATAAAACTGAGAGCTAGGCTAAGTTATAATTATTACATAGAAGCTATTTCCATGGGACCATGATAGACATGCACGTATTTCTTTCTCCATATGCCTACTTCTTTGGTCATTTAAATGAAACAATATATTTTTAAAACTCTTGAATTCTGAAGAATTTTATTTAAATCACCCAAATGGTTGTTGGATTTAACCCACTTGCAGTTAGGAGAGAATCAGAAGAGAAAATGGTGAAACAATTGAAGTCAGTAAAAATACAATATTGCACATATTTTAATTAATTATATTTATAAAGCCCAAATATTTAAAATCTGTCTTCACATTCTTCTGTTCCTCCTATTTTTAAATCAGTTCATTCAATAGTATTTACCAATATATTAATTAGAGGTTTTAATAAAAAGAGAATGAGTTTTAAAGTCAAACACAACAAGATTTACTTGTTTCCCTTTACTTTGTAGTTGTGTGACTATGGCTGTGCTCTGTAAAATGGAATCAACAACATTCACTGTAGACAAATCAATTAATATATATATAAATTATAATTGTTACAGCTATTATTATTTTATTTTGATTGGGTCATACTATTAACCCTGTCTCCCTAATTCACTTATTTTTGCTAGTTTAAATGAAAACTTCAAGTAGTCTTGAACTGAGATGCCTACCACAGTGGTTGGCATATAGCATGTGCTCAAAAATTAAGCTATAAATATTTATTACTTGTAAATAAAGGAACTGTGCTTGGTGTTTCCTTAATCCCATGGACTTTTATCAGTAGATCTCATAACAAAGAGATTCCTATTTGTCTAACATTCTTTTTTTTTTTTCCTAGTTCAGAGTTGTCCTGGGAAGCTTTGGTTTTCCTTTTTTATGAGTCATTCACCACCTCACTGATCCATCACCACCTGTGTACTAATACCACACTGAGCATCAAAGAACCTCCAGAATTATAAAGGGCTTGTAAAGAAGTCACAGAAAGAATATTACTATGGGGGGACTCAGGTATTAGGTAGATAACCAGCTATTATTTGGGTGGCAAACCTCAAAATATAGTTTGACAGATATTTTTTCCTATAGAATTAAATAGTTTGGGGAGCTTTTTATACATATAGCCTTAACTTCCACCAGTGATCCCTATTTTTCATTACTGCAACAATCACTCCACAAATCCAGAGAATCCCCCAAGTCAGCACAATATATAAACCACAGAAACCAGAGCCAAGAAAGATGACCAAAGAATTGACATTCCATTTCAAATATAGCTCGTGCTAGACTCAGAAAGCTGCAAACTCATAAACGTAGAGGTTGAAAATTACAATGTCATTTTCGTATTATGTTTTCTGGCTAGCCTAATTTTCAGCTACAACTGCAACTTGTTCTGTCTCTCCTCTAAATCAAAACTGAGGGAAAGTCAGAATGACAAATGTAGCTATGACAAACAATGAAGAGAGAAGACCAGAGAGACACACAGAAGGCACCATACTGCAGCTTCTCCGCTTCACAGGAAGAGCCACGTGCAGTGGGACGGAGGGAAGAAGGCAGGGAGGCAGCCAGCGGGGAGCTCTGCCTCCAAACACAACGACTATTTTCACCAACATAAGCTCATTCATTCAACAAAGTTACGTGGGGCATCCCCTGTGAATAATGCACTGCTTGAGGCATCACCACCATGGCCTTTAGAGATGCAGTTGTGATCCCAAGACAGATTAAGTTTCTTTGTATCACAATGTTTTTGTATATTTTTTTCTTTTCAAAATACTCACATATCCTGTCTTCAATTGATCAGTCAATATTTATCAGATATCTATTACGTCTGTGAATAAAACTCAAAAATAGACAATATATATTCCAAACAATCTAGACAAAAACACCTTTGTCAACTAGATCAAAGGTCATCATTTGAAAACAGGGAGGAAATGAAGAAAAGGAAAGAGTAGATAATAAATTTTAAATTGTTATTCAACGATTCATTCATCTAACACAGACAAGGTGCTTGTAATGTATGAGGAGATGTGTTAGGTGCCACAGGAGACATAAAAATGAACTGAGACAGAAAGAAGACAATCATTTTGCAGGTCCTATCCATTCTCCTGTGATTAAATCCTCCTATTCTTGATTCAGACAGACGCTGGGCTTTAATCCTGCCTCTACTCTGTGACCTTCAGCAAGTTACCTAACATCACTAAGCCTCAACTTCTCCATCTGCAGAATGGAGCTAATAATAATATTATTAGCTTGTGTATTAGGTTGTTGTAGGGCTTAAATAAATGATGCACACAAATCATTTTAACACAATACCTTTTATAAAAATAGCTAACAGATATTAATGCCTATCATTACTACTATTACCGTACTTCGGTTAATCACTTTCCTTCCTTCCTCTTCATACCTATGGCTACCATCCTAATCAGTCTATTTTACTACTTAAATTAAAAAAAATGTTTAACCACCAAGCCAGTCATGAAGAACAATGAGCTCTGCCTGGATAACATTCTGTTGTATTTTTACTCATACTCATTCCTCTGACCAGCATTCCTCTGACTTGATCCAACTGGGTAAAAATTCAGTCCATCTCTCATGATCCTGTCAAATACCTTCACAAAGCCTTCCCTACTCTTCTACAAGAAATAGCTTTACTTTCCTCTGAGTTTCCTTTGAGCTTCTGGCAATCACTACTTCCCCCCCATAAACCATCTTTATGCTGTACACTAAGATTTACATTTTCAGTTCCCAGTTAGAAGAATGATGAGGGTGTATAAAAGGTTTGCATTTTTTCCTCTGGAAAATAATCATTGCCTAAGACTATGAGCATCACTTTGTTCCCTGAGTGAAGAGCAAATCACAGAATCTGCTCCACAAAATTCTAAAAATGTCATAATACTGAATTGGATCACTGAAAAATATCTATACTGTAAAAACAAAAGATAGAAACAAGAAGTTTGAATTTGTTATCAAGACATACATAATGTTCTAAGAATTTTAAAAAGATTATATACTTGCTTTCTTACTTTTCTTTCCTACTGCCCAGTTGCCGAGCTGTATATTGATCCCCATAGTCAAGTAGCACCAGTTGTCGAGAAAAGACATTCACTTTGTTGCCTATAAATAAATCTTCCAAGTGAAGGTCTTCATATTTGGTCCGCTTTAAAAAGGTGCGATGATTCTTTACATCATGCTGGAATCAAAAACAATACAATGAAACAAATAATTATCAGCAGGTAATGTTAACCTTATTATAAAACTAGAAATAGTTATTAATTTTGCTCTATTAAACATAAGTTACATTCTGTTTCATTTTTGCTATAAGTACAAATCATAATTTCTTTCATAACTTATGTATTTCCTAGTCTACTCTAGTAATAACATAAAAATTACAAATTTTATACTTTAAAAAACACTGGATAGAAAGATTTATTTCCAAATCACTGCAGCAAATTAGTGCCTATGAAATCCCAGAAAAATTCCAAATTTCTGCTTTCTTGCCAACACAAAATCCCAATACCAAATAGGTCCACCTGCAAAAGGAGTCCTCAACAAAGGGACACAAAGAAACAAGCACGACTCTTTTAACTCAGTCTTCTTCAATTTGACTTTTTGTAGCGATAACAGCATTCAACAATGGTGACATATTTATGAGCATGATAATCTTTATCTATAGCCACTTATTGACTATCACTTAATCCAAAGCATAACTAATCCCACTTCAGTTTTCTAACCAAAAAAATAATTTCTATTATAAGTAAAGACATAAGGTATCTTCTTGTATTGGAATTATAATACCAAAATGTTTAAAATTCCCAAAATGAAAAGAATGTATTTTTAAAAGCAACTATAAAAAAGGCAATCCTATTCCTCTCTGGATCCCACCTTCACTCCGTTTGCCAACTTTAAAGCAAAAAAAGGCTCATTTACCATTTCAACAGATCCATCCCCTGGGTAAAATAAAAGCTCATAACGTCGAAATAGTGAAGCATTTGGATCATACCACTCTGCAATGAAAACGAATCTTTCACTATGATTCTGTAAAGAAGGATAGAAGAATTTTAACACTAACATATAAAATATAAGCACTCTTGTAAAAATCATACAAATTGAAAGAAAGAATTACCAAATATTTGCAATGAAGAAATTTATTATTACTTATTGTATTGAATAATTCTGCTTTTCAACAGTATGCCAGTTATCAACATACCCTCATACATATTTCCTTCTAATTTCTTATTAAACACCCTTAGATATCTCAAAGATGACTTATGAACTGCTTAATACTTCACAGCCATCCAATCATCCTGGATAAATTGATATTTTTTTTAGAACATGAGCTCCTGATCTGACTACTGTGATAATTCAGTTCTTCTGAAAGCAAGTTTACATATAAGCAGATAATCAATAAACTAGTATGAGAAAAAAAAGAAAAGAAAATTAGTATGAGAAAAAAATTCTGAGTGGCTAGCTCTCAATTACATTTAGAACATAACTGTTCTAAATTTAAGACTCCAGCAGTATTAGAATATTGTTGTCATTCAAATTATAGTAAGCATCTTTACTCTCCTTAGTAATTTCACATGATAGTATTTTTTTATAGAAACAGTGAGAGAATGTGTTAGTCTAGGTCCCCGGAGAAGCAGACACGATGCCAAGACAGGATTAAACATGCAAAAATTCTATTCTGTAAGAGAAATTCTGTACAGGAAATTCCTACAAGAGAAAATAGGGAGGGATCCAGGGAAGGCTGACAGACCACAATACAAATCTGACACTGAGTGAAGGAGAGAGTGAAGGAAGACTGGGTGGAATCCTTCTGGACTGCTCTACAGACTAAGGAAGGTTCAGCAAGACTACTACTACCAAATGTAAAATAGCTAGCTAGTAGGAAGCAGCCACAAGGCACAGGGAGATCAGCTTGGTGCTTTGTGACCACCTACAGGGGTCGGATAGGGAGGGTGGGAGGGAGGGAGACGCAAGAGGGAGGAGATATGGGGATATATGTATATGTATAGCTGATGCACTTTGTTATAAAGCAGAAACTAACACACCATTGTAAAGCAATTACACTCTAATAAAGATGTTAAAAAAAAAAAAAAAAAGACCACTGGGCGGTGCGCAAGCCAGTTAGCCCTCAAAGAGTTCTCTGACTTCCAGGGACAGGCCTGCTTTAGTATCCCTGCTCCTCTCAGTCACGGGCTGGGAGCAGCCCTTGGGAAGCATGTCCTAAGCACAAAAGCAGCAGTAGATTCCAGAGCACAGGAGCTGAGGCCCTTTGATCACTTCAGCTCCCTCTAGTTGAAGATCTGTGAGGTGCATACAATGAAAATGTTAAGTCAAAGAATAGCCCTCTTTCCTTGACTATTAGGCAGGATTTCCCATCACATGTTATTAATATCTTAGCCCCCAAAGGTCCTTCATCATAATAAGCAAATGAGGACATAAAGAAGAAAGGAATCTAAGGGTTTTGTAGCTAATTCTGGATTTAGCATCTGATTCTCTGGTTATAGTATATAGACGGGTTCCTTTTATGTTAATAATTCACTTATAAATTCTAATAGTACTATGTCTAGTTATATTTATGATTGTACTCATAAGCTATAATTGAGATAGCTTTTAAGACACTATTTTATTTTTCCCACAATCATCCAAAAGACACATTTAAATGTTTATTAGTCAAGAGAAAACAAAGGTAAGAGATATACTATAACAAGACTTTCTTCATTCATTATTTTTCATATTGATCCCTATAAATACAGCTTTTTATTATTTTTTAATATAGATTTTTAAAATTTAGGTTTCACTGTGCATTCTAGTATTATACTCTCCTTTTAATATAAAATTTAAATATTAGTGGTTTATTAAAATTTTTACTATCTATATTAAAATATTCATTCACTCAAAAACATCATTGAAATATTGCCTTCACTAAAATAAAATTATGAAATGGAAGAAATGATGAGACATCTAACTGAAGGTAAAAGGGCAAAGAAAGTGATGCAAATGAAAAACCAATGAAACTCGGCACTTCCATTTATCCAGGCAGCCTTAACCACAAAAGCTGCCAATCACACTCTTTAACTCTGAGTCAGGTAGTAGAATTTTTCATGATTCATCATCCAGAAAACAGTTTTAATACAAAGAAAACAAACCGAGGAAGTACTGTTTCTGGCTGACAACGTAGCTTAGAGCAAATCAATGCTACTTTCCAAGAACAACTCGGAAAGTGTGATGTTAAAAAAATATACCTGTTTGATGACGTTGGAGAGCATCTAAGGCAGCCAGATTTGATGATCTAAGATTCAGAAAGACAGGACGTTCACTGAGGTGAGCACAGCATTCTTTATACTGCTTTTACCTGAGGACCTGTGCTGAGACTTAAGTCAAGCTGGACAAGAGACTGAGAATCCCAAGAAGGTGGCAGGGGAAGGCTGCTAAGAGGCAGAGAAGCTAGCAGAGCTTTTGACAGTGTCATGGAGATAAGTAAACAAACACTGGAATTTGGGCCTACCAATGCAGACAAGACTTGAGGGGCAAAGATCCGGAAGAAAAGGAAACCACAGAGAAGTGAGCTCAAAGCTGTGCTTGTTCAATGGAGCTTTCAGTAGCATCACAGTGCTGGAGGGAGGAAAATGAGAGTTCAAACCCACCAAAAAGGAGACCACTGATAAACGATCTAGCCTTTCTGTTGTGACTCCTGGAGCATTACGCTCCAGGAGCATAGGCAAAGTAAAGGTAAACAGATCCTTACAAAATCTGAAACAAGTTTTGTGTTCACTCAATGTTCAATTATGATAAGTGATGTTTCCTCCATTCCAGCCCCCTGCATCTCCAGAAATGGAAATATGGCTTTTCATACACAATGTCAAGCTTTCAAAGACAAACTACCAGATATACCAAAAACAGACCAAGAGAAAAAAAACAGACAATAGAAAGAAATCCATGAATACCCTAGTTATTATCTGAAAAGGCTTCAAAATAACAATGATAGGTATGAAAAATATATGTCAAGATTAATAATTTCACCAGAGAGCCAGAATCTACTTTTTAATCAATCAGAAATTCAAGAATGAAAAGTAATTGCCAACACAGCATTCTATAACTAGCAAAATTACCCTTCAAGAGGTGAAGGTGAAATAAAGATATTTTTAGACAAGCAAAAACAGAAAATTTATTGCCAATGCACCTGCATTAAAAGAAATTCTAAAGGAAGTTCTGAAGGAAAAAAGAAAATGATTCAAGATGATTCAAGGAATAGAAGGACTGAAAAACAATGGAAATGTAAATATGTGGGTAAATCTAAATAAATAATGCATATGCAAAATAACAATAATGTCTTGTGGGATATAAAATAAGTAGAATTTGAATTCAGATCAATAAGAATATAAAGGGTGTGAGGGGAAGACAATATTCTTCAAATTATGTGAAGCAAAAAAAGTATCTCCTACATCAGTTGCTCGACCTTTTCTCAAATTCCAATGAACATCAGTGAGGAGAATGTCTCTGAAGCTAATAGGCACACAAACTGGAGACATTTTGTTCAATTTTTCACCCTCTGTTCTGTTAGAATGACCTTTCTTCATCTCCTAGTGCTCAGACAACAGGAAAACAATTATCAAAATGTTTAATAAATTAGTGCCATTCAAACTTTAAGAAATTAATGATGACATATATAATGACAATAATAATTTTTAGAGTAGCTACTAAGTAGCAGGTTCTTTACATACATTATCTCATTTCATTCTCACAACAGACAATGTAGGTTGACAGAAATAGGGATACTATTTCATGGACAAGGATAGTAAAGCTCAGAAAATTTGAACACTGGTCCAAGGTTACAAAGCAAAGAAATGAGTAAGTCAGCCCTCAAACTTTGGTTCTTCAGACTTTGCAAAGCACATGTTTTGTCCCACTAAACAGCACTACTTACATAAAATGATGCAAAAGTCAGTGTTAAAGAAAGCATTTAGTGGGCCTAAACTAATGATGAACTGATTTATTTAACTACTCCTCTATGTAAAGTTAAATAATTCTAGACAGGGTCAATTTTGTAACCTTTAACAAACATGTAGGAGAAAGGGTATAGATTATTACAAAATAGGATAAGGAAATCAGGTTACTCCCTGTGACATCAAACATACTTAACAAAATACCTCTTTTCAATTATATCCCAATTTCAGAATCTTAAGAAATCAAGAGTCAGTGAGGTCTGTCCTTATAAAATACCAAAAAAACCTTAAATATAAAACTATATTTTAAAACCTATATAACACCCATATGAAAAGCCAAGAGACCCAGAAGAGCTAAAGCAGTCTTGAAAAAGAAGAACAAAGTTGGAGACCTCACATTTTCTATTTTCAAAACACGGCAAAGCTACTGTAATCAAGCCAGTGTAATACTGGCATAGAATAGATATAGATTAATCTAATAGAAGGGAGTCCAGAAATAAGCTCATACGTATATGATCAACTGATTTTCATCAAGGGCAGCAAGACTGTTCAATGGGGGAAAGAACAGTCTTTCCATAAACAGTACTGGGACCACTGGATATCCACAGGTCAAAAAATACATGAAACTGTATCCCTACCTCACACTTTATACAAAAATTAACTCAAATGGATCATAGACCTAAACACCAAGAGCAAAGCTAGAAAAACTGCTAGAAGAAAACATTTGTGACTTTGGGTTAGTAAATAATTTCTTAGACAAGACACCAAAAGCACAAGTGACCAAAAAATGAAACAAAACAACAACACCAAAAACATAGATAATTTGGACTCCAAATGATACCATCAAGGGAGCAAAGTGACAACCCACAGAACTGGAGAAAATATTTACAAATCATATATCTGATAAGGGAGGGTCTAGTATCCAGAACGTATTAAGAACTCTAACAACTCAATAATAAAAGACAACCCAGTTACAAAATGGGCAAAGGATATGAGTAGACATTTTCCCAAAGAAGATATACAAATAGCCATTAAACCTATAAAAAGATGCTCAATACCAGTAGCTCTTAGGGAAATGGAAATTAA